TCAAGGTTATCGGGTACCAAGAGTTGAGCAAATAGGAACCCACGTACCTGAAGGTGTGCCTTCTTCACAATTGCCCCACCTGACTACTACGATCAGCAGTGCATAACCTACTTGTCCAAACATTAGCTGCTGCTATCTGGGCAGCAACATGAGCAGGGCATTCTTGGTGGTGGCCTCCTGGTTTATGAAACTCCAGCATGAATGATGCTTGGTTGTCTATCACATTGGCCATATTTAGCTGTATGGTAAAGCCCTTTCTGTCTGTCCAGGCCTTTTGGATGCAACTAATACTTCCACTGCCACTCTCGTTTGATGTTCTGTTTGGTTATGTTGCATCCAGATTTGTTGCCGTTGTGTTTTATTTGATGTGTTGCAATGATACCTCATTGCTTATTATGATTGTTTGTATAGTCACACTGAGCACCTGCTGGAAGGAAAGATGGGATCTGACTATGAGGAAATAAACCAGTATATAGTACCACATGATCTCTGAACCGCTTTGTGATGCAACCTCAGGTACCTGACATGTGCAATGCCCTGATGCTGGTGCCTAGGATTATAACTGAATTCTACAGAAGTCCTATGCATTGTGGTGCTCTTGCCACATCAATAGCAAGAACAGGCTTGGCCTGCAGGCTGGTTGTAGCTCCACTATCTGACTCTTGTTTCTCTGTGGGAGAAGCCTGAATACCTGTAGATTGCAGCCATTTCCCTAGCTCTTCATGGGAACATCTATGGCCTGCACAGGTTTGTCAGCAGTCAAGAGTGGATGGGATGCATGTATTCTCCATGAAGTGCGCAAGGGGGTTCATGCCAGAACCTCCTGCCTACCACAGCCATAAAAAAAATACGGCAGGATCACAGTGTTAGAAATTAGCCAGGCGCCAGGCGCGTTTTGCTACTGCCGCAGGTCCAATTGCGACTACGTGGAGATTTCTGGGTGATAGGTTGGTGACCACAGTTTAAAAACCTCTGCCTTAGTCCATAGTTAATTCCATTTCCACTGTGTGTGTTTCACCTTCTTGCATAATGGGACAAGTGAATTGTTGTAAGAGGAAGCCACAGTCAAGCAATGTAGTTGAGATCATAGAATCGTAGAAGTGTAGCAGCAATGGAAGGGACCACAAGTGTCATCTAGTCCAACCCCATGGGGAATAGACGTTCTGTTGTGGTGGCCATTACCTAGATTTAAAGTGCTTATATGTCTGAGTTTCTAACACTGGGCAGGGATGGGCAACCTTCAGCCCGCAGGCCAATCTTGGCTTGTCTGGGGGTTCAACATAGCATGCAAGGCCCAAACCACTCCCACCTGTCTCTGGGTGATCTCAGCAGGTGATCGGGATTTGGGGTTCAGTTCTGCTAGGTGCTGCTTCGCCAGCATGTTTGCTTTGGGGGAACCAGCTGACAAAACTGACCTCTGGAGCCAGGAGGACTTGAGTCCTCTGTGAGCAGGTAAGAAGCGAGAAGCAATTGGTGATGGAGGTGTAACTGTGCTGGTCCCGGGGGGGTTACCCTGCAGCGAGGTCCGTGTCCAGTCCGGGGTCGAGGGTGTGGTGTGTAGGCTGTCCGTCAAGGCAGAAGCGGGGTCCAAGGCAAGGAGTCGGGCAAGGTCAGGAACTCTGGCAGAAGAGCAGGACAGGGTGCCGGCAGGAACAGGCTACCAACAATGTTGCTCCCGCAACCTGGGACTGGGGCTGACTGGCTTTTATCTGCCCCGAGGCATAGGGCGGCCCCGGTCCACAGGTGACTCGCCTCTCCTGGCCTGGAGGCGAGCACTCCTCCTGCAGGAACTTAGTTCCCTCCTCCTCTCTGCCCTGAGCCTCTGCAGCTCAGGAGAGGCTGGAGGGTTACCGGACCCAGAGGCAACCTCAGCTTCCTCTGACGGGGCTGAGAGTGGAGCATCTGCAGGCAATGGGTCCTCCATCACCTCAGGGGCCAGAGCAGACTCAGCTGGTGCCTGCACCTGAGGTTCCAGCACAGGTGAGGACCCTTCAGGCTCATGCCCCAGCCCCGGCTCAGCTGGTTCTGGAGGCGGGGACTCCTGTTCAGGCTGGGATCCCTCAGGTTCAGCATCCGAGTCCGAATCCCAGGCCATCACAGTAACTTACAGAAGTAGAGAGGATGAGCAGGGAAGTTAATGGCACGCTAGAAGTAAGATATTTAATCTTGGTTCAGTTTTTTAAAAAAAAAAAACGTTCAGCATCTAGCACAGTGCTTTACAGTTGGTGCAGTAGGCAGAGAAATCATTAAGTAGTCTGCCAAGACCCTTAGCAGTTTTCAAGCAGTCCAGTGGGGGGAAATTTTGAAACGGCTGGACTAGATTATGCTTGTAATCAGAAGCTATCCTGGAGAGACACCGCCTGCCTTTTCCCTACCCCACCCCCATTGTCACTGTCAGAGTGCAAAAGATATGAAGGAAACAGTGACTGGGTAGAAGGGCTTTTACAATTGCCAAAAGCTCGGCTCTGCCCTCGCTGGTCTTGGAAGGATCCTTTAAAAAAGTCCTATATGACTAGAGAATTTGCGCCTGTCCATTGGGGGATATAGGAGGGACGCAGGTGGCGCTGTAGGTTAAACCACAGAGCCTAGGACTTGCCGATCAGAAGGTCAGCGGTTCGAATCCCCGCGACAGGGTGAGCTCCTGTTGCTCGGTCTGCTCCTACCAACCTAGCAGTTCGAAAGCACAAAGTGCAAGTAGATAAATAGGTACCGCTCCAGCGGAAAGGTAAACGGCATTTCTGTGCGCTGCTCTGGTTTGCCAGAAGCGGCTTAGTCATGCTGGCCACATGACCCGGAAGCTGTACACTGGCTCCCTCTGCCTTTAAAGCGAGATGAGCGCCCCAACCCTAGAGTCGGTCATGACTGGACCTAATGGTCAGGGGTCCCTTTACCTTTATTGGGGGATATAGGAAGCCCTGAACACATATTTTTTAGATGTCCCAATGAGGCACGTAGGGAAACCATTGACCCCCTGCTGGTGAGGCTTGCTGACCTCCCGGTAAAGCAAAAATTTGCTCTTCTCCTGTTAGGCAAAGACCACAAGACAACCCGGATTGTTGCCAGATTCTGCGCACAGATCTGTAGGCACAGACCATCCCACGATTCAATCTAGTTTGTTAAGAAAATTCCCAAACTCGGATCCACGAGTGACTCTGGGTCATTTCTCGAAGGTAGTCTGTCTTAAAGTTTTTGTGTGTTTATATGCCTATCACACTTTTAAACTTAAAATCCATTGTTGTATATTGTTTTAAATGTTTGCTTTGCTATTGGGATTGTAGTTCCATTTGTGTTTCTCAAGTTGGTCTCTGACCGTAATAAATTTCATGTCAGTGACTGGGTAGATCTACACACAGGGAAAAACCTGCTATAAATAAGTCAGAAAGCAAATCATTTTAACAAAAGAAAAAACACACATTCCCTCCCCCCTTTTTTTTGCTCTCCAGCACCATTTGTTGTTGTATGTTTATAACACATTCAAAATGCTGTTTTTTGGCTAATGGAGCTGAGTCCTCTGTTTAGGGGAATCCTAAAAGTTACAGTTTAAGGTTTGAACTCTGTTTTCCATGCCCACTTTGCTTTGCAGTGTGGAGGTTGTTTATAGAACTGCTGTTGCCTGTATGGTGGGGTGATGTTTCCCCATCCCCTAGCTTTGACATTAACTTTTGCTTGGAAATAATAAACCGATTGAGTTTTCAGTCGACAATCAAGATTCTCCTCTTGGGAGAGAGGGAGCGTATCCGTTTTGGTCACATGTGCTTAATAAGGAAATGGCAAAATTGTAAGTGTCAAGGGATGCAAGTGATTATGTATAATAGTGTTTATTCACTTGCTGAGACATAATAACAAAATTACTACTTTGTAGTTGTCTCCGAAGTACAGCAATTCTGCATTTTTACAAAGGCAGCTTTTAATGAGTAATCAGCTTTTTGCTTCTTGCCAGCCGCATGTGTGCAGTGTACAGTAAAATCTTGGTTAGCTTCTAATCTGGGTCTACTCTGTAACAATTACATTTATTCCTAATGTCTCTTAAGTTATGGCCTGAATTTGTAAAATCAGCCCTTTTCAGGTCCTGCCTTAACTTCTGTACGGTCACTGTTTTGTCTAGGCAAGCAGGGCAGTCTCTACCATCTAATGATTCATAAGCCATTCTAATAATTGCCCAGCAGCAAGACCTTCCTGTGCATGGAGATTTTTTGCTCAGATGGTAGGAGGGTCATTGACTTTGAGCACATGAGGAGGAATGAATGTGCTTTCTGGCTTCAGGAGGCAGGTTTTGGACGTGGTCCTTAAGCCTTTCCAGAATGTACACGAGAACAGTACAAAGCAAATGTACATGAAAAAGATGCAGGACCTTAGTGGTTTGGTTTTGCATGTAACACTAAACCATGGTTAAGTGTTACATGCAAAACCAAAATCACAAAGGCCCTACATTTTTTCCCATGGTTTAGTGTTCCATTTGTTTTCCCTCCATTCCCTCTCCTCTCCAATAGAGGCAAAGGGAGATTAGGTCGTTTTGCTTCTATTTTCAACTGAATGAAGTTGTGCCCAAACTTGGGCAAATAGTGGTTCATGTTAACTCTGGGTGTATGGCGGGGTGACGAACCTTTGGCTCTCCAGTTGTTATCGGACTCCAGTTCCCATCTGCTCAAGCTAAATGCCAGATGGTCGAGGATTCTAAATTATTTTATTTGGAGATTTTTTTATCCTGCTCTTCAGCCAAAAGACCAATAGAAATGCTCCAAGCGCAGCTTGCAGATAATAAAACATAAGGGGATGCCTGCTGTCAGGGTTACATTCTTAAAAGTCGCAACACACGAATACACATGATGGGTGTGGTAGTCCTACAACATCTGGTAGGCTGTAGCAAAGCACCTGCTTTTTGCATGTAGGAGGTGCAGTTCCTGGCATCTCCAGGTACGGTAGGGCTGGGGGATGCCTCTGTTCTGAAACCCTGGAGAGCTATTGCTGGTTAATGTAGTCCAGGGCTTCCCAAACCTGTGTCTCCAGCTGTTTTTAGATTACAGCTCCCATCATCCCTTTGACCAGTGGTCAGGGATGATGGGAATTGTAGTCCAGCAACAGCTGGGGACCCACGTTTGGGAAACCCTGGTGTAGACAATACTGAACTAGATGGACTGTATGGTCTGATTCCGTATAGCACAGCTTCCTATATTCTTCATTCCAGGTTTAGGAAAACAAGCCAACTACAAAATATTGTGGGCATTCCTGGCTCGTTTTCCTAAACGATAGCTAGTGGTAACCATTATTCTTGATTTGGGCAGTGCTAGTAAATGTAGAAAATAGTTAGAAGTCGAAGCAAAGGGTTCTGAAGTCCACATTGTAGCCGTGCCAGGCAGAAAGGAGGATTACATAAGCAGAAAACTTGTCCATGCTCAATTCCCATAGTTGTTGTTGTTGTTGTTTAGTCGTGTCCGACTCTTCGTGACCCCATGGACCAGAACACGCCAGGCACTCATGTCTTCCACTGCCTCCCGCAGTTTGGTCAAACTCATGCTGGTAGCTTCGAGAACACTGTCCAACCATCTCGTCCTCTGTCGTCCCCTTCTCCTTGTGCCCTCCATCTTTCCCAACATCAGGGTCTTTTCCAGGGAGTCTTCTCTTCTCATGAGGTGGCCAAAGTATTGGAGCCTCAGCTTCACGATCTGTGCTTCCAGTGAGCACTCAGGGCTGATTTCCTTCAGAATGGAGAGGTTTGATCTTCTTGCAGTCCATGGGACTCTCAAGAGTCTCCTCCAGCACCATAATTCAAAAGTATCAATTCTTTGGCAATCAGCCTTCTTTATGGTCCAGCTCTCACTTCCATACATCACTACTGGGAAAACCATAGCTTTAACTAATGGGGGCGTTATTTGACCCTAGCTTCACTTAACACAGAGATAAACTGTCTGCATCCAGACATGATCCTAATAAGTACTATGGGAATGCCTGAGAAAGACAACAGGCATTCCCATAGTACTTATTAGCATCATGTCTGGATGCAGACAGTTTATCTCTGTGTTAAGTGAAGCTAGGATCAAATAAGACCCCCATTCTATCTTGGTAGGGCCACTTGGGAAGGAGGAAAGTTGCTTGTGATCCAGTCTTCCCCATGAACCGAAGGTTGGCAGTTCCTGGATCTAGTTTGAGTTCTTACCCTGAAAACAGGATGCTCTACATATAATAGAACCAACTCTGTTGTGGTTTTAAGCCTCTGATGTACCATAAGTAGAAAGAAGAAAAGGGGCGGTGCCAACATGCCAAGAACAGAGGAAGTTTGTTTATTCCAGGTCAGGCTATTTATCCATCTGGCCCAGCATTGTTTGTTGTGACTCACTTTAAGTCAGGCTGCGACCCAGAAGTGAGCCCTAGTCCATCTGTTGAAGGCCAATGATCAGCAGTGACTAACAGTCTCTGCAGGATCTCAGACCCAAGGTCTTTTTCATCACATTCGTAAAAGAGGCCAAGCTATCAGACCCAGGTGGCAAATCATATCCTGTGCATGGGGCAGAGTGCTCAGTCCAAGGATTTTTGTTTAGCCCTAGAACCAACTTCGTAAGGGACGTGGGTGGCGCTGTGGGTTAAACCGCAGAGACTAGGACTTGCCGATCAGAAGGTCGGCGGTTTGAATCCCTGCGACGGGATGAGCTCCCGTTGCTCGGTCCCTGCTCCTGCCAACCTAGCAGTTCAAAAGCACGTCAAAGTGCAAGTAGATAAATAGGTACTGCTCCAGCGGGAAGGTAAACAGCATTTCCGTGCACTGCTCTGGTTTGCCAGAAGCGGCTCAGTCATGCTGGCCACATGACCCGGAAGCTCCCTCGGCCAATAAAGCGAGATTAGCTCCACAACCCCAGAGTCGGTCACGACTGGACCTAATGGTCAGGGGTCCCTTTACCCTTTTAGAACCAACTTCAGTCATTTTCACCCCACAATTGAGTGGATCAGCGTTAGAAACTCAGATATATACCGTAAGCTAGTCTCCAAATGGCACCTTAAACCTTTTTGGCATGCGGCAGCAAAGGGTGCTGTGTGCCAGCTAGCCACATGGTGGAGATGTCAGTCACCAAACCTGGCGACAAAACCTCTCCACTTGGTCACAACTGAACAGTCGGCAGTCGCAAAAAAACCACTGGCGACCGGGGAATTTTGAACACTGGAGGGGATGGGTGGGAGTTGTTTTATTATCACTATTGTTAAAAATGTGGCCATCACAAACGTTTAAGCGTTAAAGTCTTGGGCAGAAATCGAACTGGTAGTTTGAGTTCTTTGTCCAGCAGTGAGCCCAGGACACTCTGCCTATTTTATGTGTGTATTCTTTAGCAGCAGCTGATCAGTTTCTCTCTCTCTCTCTCTCTCTCTCTCTGTGTGTGTGTGTGTGTGTGTGTGTGTCTAGGCACAATGTCAGTGTGCATGGTGCTTTTGGGCTCCATAGGCAACCCAGACACACAGATAGATCATACATTCATATATTTTAGTCAAGAGTTTATATATGAAAAAAGTTAAATGATTGCAAATAGAAGTGTTCACATGCTAGAGTGACTGCAATAAATTGGGAGTTATTTATTATTTGGAGTGAATGTGTGGTGTGAACCCCTACGGGAGTTGGCAGGAAAGCGACTTAACTGCTTTTTGTGGTTGAACACTGCATCTTATGTGCTCCTAAAACGCTCAGGCCAGATTGCAGAGCTGATAGAAATGCCAAGAGACTTTCTTATTAATGATCGGAAAGGGCGTGTAACAATACTAAGTGTTTCAGTGGCTTTAAGTATATTGGGCAGTGTCCAATGAACTGATTCTGTTAGCGTAAGGATTTCTGCTTGCTCACTGGAACTTCCTCCTTTTGGCTTTCCCATGCCCTCCCCAAATCTGCTCTGGAGGTTTGGGGGAATACCCAGAACAGATTTAAGGGGGGAGCATTGGGAAGAGGGAGCGCATTCTGCAACCTCATAGTCATTGTGTTAAAGGAAGGAGCTGGTTGAATATCGCTCATTATCAGTAGCCCTTAACAGTGATGGATAACAAATGGATAGGTTCTTGGTGATAGATGCTTGGCCCTGGTGATCATATCTTGTCTTAAAAAGCTCGGATGTGCACAAGCTTTTCCCCTCTTCTCTCCTCCCTTTGCAGCACACTGCAGTTAAGCTAGTAAGTCCCCAGTAAAGTGTCGTTTCTGATTTGTCTGTCTTGGGAAGGTGTGGCTACCAAGTTCAGAACAAGCCAGGATCTGAAGCTAAGTTCAACGTGCGGTTTAAGATCCTAGCTTTTCCCCCACTGCGGAAATCATAGTTCCTCAGACTGCACAAATTGAAGACTTCTGAGTTTAATTGCTGTGTGCTAGAAAGGGAGAAGGGAAGTGGTTATGTGTGTGGACAAAAGCCTCATGCATATTTCTGCTTATTGTGATTGTCACTCCAAACTTCCCCAGTGTGCATCAACTATTGTATGTGCGGAAGGATTTGTGGGTACAGGAGCGACGACCACAAGGGCAGCCCATCGCTCAGTGGTAGAGTATCTCTTTAGCATGCAGGTTCCCTCTCTGGCATTTCCAGGTAGGCCGGGGAAAGATTCCCTGACTGAAACTCTGGAGAGCTCCTGTCAGTCAGTGTTGACAGAACTGGTCTCGCTCAAAACAAAGCGACTTCCAAGTTCCTGAGATGGCAGAGTTTCTTACAGTGCCAGCAACCAAATGTGGTATTCGGACGTCGTACTCTGGAGGTGGAGAAGTGTTATGTCTGCACAGTAGCAGGTTGTAGCAGTCGTTGATCTAGGATAGATGCAGAAAGTTCTCGAAATACCATCATGGTTCTAGCTGGCAATTTCTTGGCCATATCTGGCTTGCTGGGCAATGCCCTCTGACCAGGTCTGGCGTCATCAAGCAGTATTCTCAGGCAGCTGCTGGCACTTCCCATTGCTACTTCTCCTGGCTCCCCCCTCCCCAGGCACCTGTCATCTCAATTTCCCACAATGCACTGTAGGAAATCAAAATGGCGGCCGCCCAGTGTAGACCACCACTTGATAAGCCAACGGGGGGGCACTTGTCCTGGTGAGGGAGCCATTGGGAGGCACCTGACGTCAGCCCTGGTCTCCTCTTCTCCAGTTGCCAGCCCCAAAGGCAAATGGGAATGAGCAGCCGTGGGATTTGGCGCTGGGCTAGGGGAACATTTGCCAACTCGCTGCTTCCTTCTCACGGTGGTCTTCAGGCAATGCTCATTCATGAGGAAGGGGTGTCTCTTGGTTTATAGCCAAGAGGAGTTATGGTGTCTGTGACCAGCCCTTGGCATAGACGCTGGAGATGGAGCTGAGCCAGGAAGGACAAAGGAGCTGGAGATGAATGAACTCAAAAGGGAGCGGATGCAGCTCTTGAGGCGCCCAGATTAACCATCCCTGAGATGTGGATCTGTGTCTGGAGTTCTGTGGGCCCTCTTCAAAGAGGTCTGGGTTGGGTGGGATCTTGATAGGAAAAAGCAAACAATATATTACATTTCCCCCCCCCCCCTTCAATTTGTAAATATTTTGAAACTTTGGAAGCTGAGATGAGTGACTTAAAAATAATAATAGCCAGCTTCATCTTAAACTGTACAGTGGTACCTCGGGTTGACTCTTAATTCGTTCCGGAGGTCCGTACTTAACCTGAAACTGTTCTTAACCTGAAGCACCACTTTAGCTAATGGGGCCTCCTGCTGCCGCTGCACCGCCAGAACCCGATTTCTGTTCTTATCCTGAAGTAAAGTTCTTAACCTGAAGCACTATTTCTGGGTTAGCGTAGTCTGTAACCTGAAGCGTATGTAACCTGAAGCGAATGTAACCCGAGGTACCACTGTATTAATATTCTGCAACTGGAGAACTTTAAAGGGAAAGCATTGCACGTCTCCTATGCGAAACTGGAATCCATTTTTCACTCGTGTCTTATCTCCTTTTGTTTTTGCTTTTCTCTCTGTGTGTGGTTTCTCTTCCTCCTCTTTTCTTGGAGACTTTTTAGTAAAACTAGCCTGCTCCTGAGAGCACATATTTCTGTTCCCTGGGGACAGAATTGGCTGTTGCCAAGGGTAGCCAGATATTGAGGGCAGCCTAGCAGTTCAGAGCCTGTCTTGG